TGTCATTAGTCAAATTCTTCAGAAACCCGACACAAGATGCAATAAATATTTTATCAGAAACTTGAAATAAAGTTTAACTTAACACTTGTTTCAAAAAAGAGAATCCATGTAATTTGTTAGAAAAATATTTACTTTATGGTTTTTTAATATAGTGTTGAGTTAAATGTTTTGCCCCCGATGAAAATCATTCCTGGATCCGCCACTGGTTACATGTAAAGCTCAAACAAACGAGTTCACAAGGGTTGATTCCGAATTTAAATCCAAAAACACCTTGAAGATGGAGGATCTTCAAGTGCTACAATCATGCATTCAAGATCTTGAAGATGGACTTGATTCTCTCTCTAATTCATTGATCAACATAGTCTCATTTCTTAACATCTTTTGCTACTAAGCCTACAAAATTTGTACAGGAAGTTAATGAACAAATGACCACTAAAATAACAAATACAAAATATGATTCTGTTGTAGTTCCATCTCTTCATCTCTATCTCAAGATTGTCAAAAACTTCAATAGAGTTTCTTACTATTTTTAAATCTTTAACAGTGAAACCTTATGTTACGGTCTGAGGAAATAAACATGTACTTGCTTGATAGATCATGTTGGCATCTCAGAATCTCCACATGGTTGTTGGAAACTATTTAAAAAATCCACAAAATGTTTAACTAATTTCTATGTCATGATCCATCGTGGATCTCTTTACACGCCATAATCTATGGATACGGATCTTGCTGCTACTTCATCAAAGCAACCATTATTAGAGTTGTTAAAAGATGCTTTCTTTGAGTAGTATAACCATAAATTCATAAATGCAAACGTGTGAGATACTATAAAAATAGCTTGCATACCACACAGAGAAGCAGGAGACAAAGCCAAGCTGGATTCGCCAGTAGCTACTTCATCGAAACCACCATTATCATACACTTGTCCAAATATGATTTCTTTTGATTAGTATAACCATACATTCATAATTCAAACGTGTGAGATTTTATAAAAATAGTTTACTTACCACACATAGAGGGAGGAGACAAAGCCAACCTGGATTTGCTAGAAGCTATTGCGAGTGCTCGTGCGGTTAGACATTTTTTAAGATAATAATACTTCCATTTCTTTTATGTAATAGAGTCTGATCAGCATGATAGACCTTATTTAATTCCTTGAAGATAGGCATGAGATTCGCACGAGTGGCATTGCCTTCAATAGCAGACAAGTCAGCTTTAGATGCTCCAAACCGAGCTCAATGCATTGAGTAATTGGAGAGATATAGTTGGAGGGACACATTGTACATATATGGTGGAGATCTCAGATCCTTACTATAATTTATGTATAATAAGAAGAAGATGCCTTATGCCACCTTGAAAGGGGAACATTGTATTAATGGTTTTAATATTTTAATCACCATGAGATTCCTCACGTCTCTCTTTCTTTTCTGATGGTGTATATAAGTATTCACCGGTGAGGCAATGAAGAAGGCAGATCAAACATCTTTCTCTCTCACTCAACATCTTATGTTTGATCAGTAACAAAGAACTTAAATACAAGAAAATGGCAGTTTCTTTCCACGTTCGCTCTAACAGTTTCCCTTCTAGATCTCATCCACAAGCCACTCATGTTGATGAACAGTTGGTCCGTTTGAGATCTTCTGAGGAAGCCTCAACATCTTCATGTTCTTCTATCTGTAAAAGACTTGACAACCTTCATGAGCTTCACGAGTCTCTTGATAAGCTTATTGGCCTACCCGTCACACAACAAGCTCTATCTCAAAAACAGAACAAGAAAGCTGTTGAGCAGCTTCTTGATGGATCTCTAAGAATCTTGGATTTGTGCAACATTTCCAAAGATGCTTTGTCGCAGATGAAAGAGGGTCTCATGGAGATCCAATCGATTCTACGAAGAAAGCGTGGAGATTTATCGGGAGAGGTCAAGAAATACTTGGCTACAGAAAGTCCCTCAAGAAGACATTCCAAAAAGTACACAAGCCTCTGAAGTTTGCACAAGAGGGAGAATCTTTGGCTGTCTTTAGAGAAGTAGAAGCCATCACAGTTGCTTTGTTTGATTCTCTCTTCGGCTACATGTCTGGATCAAAGACTTGTGGCAAATGGTCGCTTGTCTCAAAGCTAATGACCCAGAAGAAAGTTACTTGTGAGGCACAAACAAACGAATTCACAAGGGTTGATTCCGAATTTCATTCCGAAAAAACCTTGAAGAAGGAGGATGTTCAGATTCTAGAGTCATGCATTCAAGATCTTGAAGATGGACTTGAATCTCTCTCCAAGTCTTTGATTAAATATAGAGTCTCAATTCTTAACATATTAGGCCATTAAAGCCTACAAATTTTGTACAGATAAGAAAAGATAATCGAAACATGTACAATATTTCTTACACTACTCTTCATTTGCATCTTCATTTACTTGGTTCGTTTATCATCAAAGAACATGTTTAGTCCAGAACCATGAATTTAACAAATAAGTTGGATTGGAAATTTTACCGTTAACTATAAACCCCCCTAAATCTACAGAGTTTCAATCTATCATATCTCTCTGTGTCATTATTTCTGCTTCACACGTTTTATGCGATAACAACTTTGTCCATGTCTATATGGTGGGAGACAATGGAAATGATTCGCTGGAAAAATAGAATGAAACTTGAAAATTTTTCACATGTCAAAACCAATGAATAAGCATCTTGTCTGGATATTTTCTTGAAACAGCTATGACAGATATGAAACATTGTTTTAAAGCCACTCATTAAATACGATCAGGCTCGACCCTGGCCCAGTGTAAGGAATGCAAATGCACTGGGCCCGTTTATTTGAATCTATTATTTTGACCAAAATTTTTTAAAATAAAGGCCCTAATTTTTTTTTTCTGAATTATAGAGCCCGTTTTTATATAATCTGTTATATAAAAGTTCAAAAAAAAATTTTTAGCACTGTGCCGAGGCCTGAATACGATTACTGTTTTGTCTAAATACATTTGGAGAGAGGTTACTTGTTGATGCATATTATATTCTCGATTTTGGCCATATCTATTCAACACTTCAAAAGAAGATGGGCTAGAAGAAGAGGGTGAAGGTGAGGAGATTTTTAGTGGGAGGTAAATTTAGAAGAAATTTGGAGAATTTTAGTGGGCGGTATAGTTAGATTTTGAGTACAAGTGACATTGATCAAATATGTAGAAACCACAAAGAATGAGGTAAACATTCATGTAGATTTTTGATTCGAGTAGCTTATTAAGATTAGTACATTCGAGTACGTGTATTGGTATAAGTTCTAGGTCAAGTACGAAAACGAGCGTTGGATGTTGAAGGCATTGATAAGTAACCGTTGGATGCATGTAAAAATCTCCTAAACTATGAGTTTACATTTTAATAGTTCCCATCAATGTTTTAATTTTTCTAAACCGTTATACGT